AGGCACTTGGCATTTTTTGGGAAGAGGAAGAATATTACCCAGTAGCATCTCTTCCTGTTCTTAGTTTACTACATTAATTCAGGAAAGAAGATCTCTCATCCAGCTCCTCTTCAGTCGTCTCCTGATGGACATTACAGGTGCCCATGCATCACAACATTTATTAGAGAAATATTGAATGAAATAAAATTCAAATATTACATAATATGAAGCAGTTTGCAAAATATTTTTTTTAGTAGATGACCTCATTGTCCGGGAGCTAAATTTTCAAGACCGTCACTGATTATATCAAATGAAACTTTATTATAATTTATTTATTAATTTTAACTAATTTATTGAATAATATATAATCTGTCACATTGAACAAGTATCAGTGCTACAAGTATTCATTCATACAACATGTCATTCATTTATGCACAAGAATTTCTTCGTCAGATAATTATGATGTTTTTTCCTATTCCTATTTTTTTCCTACTCCTCTTTTATCTATAATTTTCTAATTAATTTTTTTTTAAACTTCTCCAACAAGAGAGTATCAACGGAATAAAGAATCATTATTCAAGACATCTTCCCTCAGAAGCAAAAGTAGGGCTGGAGAAAGAAGCATGCTAAAATTTGGGGTCACTTGATAAAATATCCAAACGATACAGAAAGAATACGAGATGTGTCTTTAAGGCCGAGCCCATCTTGAGATAAAGTTGTGTATTTCAAGAAATACCTCCTCACGGAAACCTCATTTTTTTCATACAACCTCTTCGCCATTTTAAGAGGATTCTCTACGAAGGTACGATTTATTTCTTATAGGTTTCTCATAGTTCGAAAGTATAAAAATAACACTAAAAATTGTATAAAAGTATCTCAATTGTTTAATAAAGATAAACCGACAAGGAGACCTTATACATTGTGATTGGAATATTAAAATATTCTTATATTTAATTAATTAAAAATTAAAAATTGGATCACGGTTAATCCTCCAAGAGAAATAAATAAAAGTATAAGAAAATTTTATGAAATTTTATTAAAACATTCAAATTGTAAATTTAAGATATTTCCAATTTTTGTGAATAAAAATTAAGGAAAAATAGTTAATAGTACTAGACAATTTTAGTTACTAAATGTAAAAAATCGGTAGAACAAATATACATGTGCATTTAACTCATTCAATTTTTCATTCTAGATTTAGTTAGGTTTCCGCATTCTGAAAAATAACAGTAATATCTCTATAGTATGTAGCTGTAAATTAAAATATTTTTTAAAAGATTATTAAATTTTCGACAAAAATATTAAAAAATCGGTTCAGTTTGAGCAACGTTCACAGGCGGATGTACAGGGGAGGGGGCATTTCGCGCTGAAACCCCCCTCCCCAAATGGTAAAATATAACTATGTTTTATGAAAAAAAAAATCTCTAAAAGTATTATAGTTCGTCTAATTACATTGAATAGGACTTAAAGAACCACTTAAAAACCATTTCATATATGCACGATTTAGTTTAAGAAAATTAAAATAACCTTCAGGGTCTATCGAAATCTATTTTATATAAGATTCCATGATTTTTCCAAGTTATCATTTCATTTTCAGACAATTTTGTATATATATACAATTTAATAATTTTCCTACTTCGAAAATTAAAATACAAAAAGTGAAAATTACTTTATACGCTATTTTACAATTTATGGCAGATTAATGTAAGTTATTCTGTTTGATCATGAAGCACAAACGGAATACGGTGAGGGGAGATGGCTTTCAGGCTGAAGCCTAAAATGGTAAAATATAAGTATGTTTTATGAAAAAAAAAATCTCTAAAAGTAATTACATTTAATATGACTTAAAGAATCACTTAAACACCATTTCGTATAGGTAGTTAGTTTCTTTCTTTCTTCCAAAGTAATTATCCTAATATATACATCCAAAAAAAAAAATTTAGGCTAAAGCAAACCAAAATTAAATCCTGGATCCGTTGGTGGCAACGTTACAGTGTATTGGATTTCTTACACTGATATTAATAATTGTTCACTTGCCCGTTTACATTGCATTAGTTCATCAAATAAATCGTACTCTTACGATTTCTCTGATAGGTTATCAAGAAAATTAGTCTAATTCAATTGTGTTATTTTAAATGAACATATTTTTTTTCACTTCATAATTTCATCCACACCTGTACCCAGTACCCATCAGCACCTCTTCCTGTTCTTGGTTTACTTCTTTAATTCAGTAAAGGAGATCTCTCATCCAGCTCCTCTTCAGTTGTCTTCTGATAGGCATGTCAGGTGCCCATGCCGTTGATAAGTGCGTTGTGATGTAGGTGTAGTTGAAGGTGAAACCGGGAGTAGAGAAAACATATGATAGTTGGATGTCATGAGTAGTATGTAAAGTTTTGATGTTCGGTGAAAAGGTAGGAAATTCATGAGTGGAAACAGCAGATTTTTTATTTAAATATTTAGCGACATTTTATAGATTGTCTGTACTCTACAACTCTTCCATTCCAAGGTGGAAACCTATCACTACCTTTCTTGACAATGCCTTTGATGTATTGTCGAGTTAATTTTATTAATTTGTTTGGAATTTACTATGTTTATGTCAATAAAACATCTATACTGTTTTTATAAGATCAAAATTAACATGTATAATAAATAGCAATAAGCTAATAGGTAAATGCAAGACCAAGACCTGTCTTTTGATATTTTATGAGAAAATCAATACTTTAATCAAGAATGACTGTTTCTTAGATGTAATATCAGTTGGATTTGCCAAAGTTCCACTCAGGATTTGAGTTTGCTTTCAATGGGGATTTAAGTTGTTTTTTCTCTTCAAAGTTCCTTCTTGTTTTGATCTTACACCTTTTCAGTTAAGATGTGATGTTTTAAACTTCGTCTGTGCTAGGTCTCTCCATTATTTCATCCTAATGAATACTGAATTTCTCATGCTTTATATTTGTTCGTTTAATTTCCTTTTAAGGTCGATAAAGATTCTCTTTATTTAAATTAATTCATTTTATTTAAACTTTCTTTTCTTTGTGCTACTGTTCATACTTTTGGCATTGAATACAATACCATATATTATTAATTCGTGCTTATTTAAATTATAAATAGTATATAAAATAGTTGTCTTTATAATAGTATGGATGTCACTGTCCGGAGATCTATAGTAATGTAGAATAGGTTGTATTAAACAAAACATATAATATATGGAATTAATATTAACAAAATTAAATTTTTTAAACTCATTTAATTTTATTTTTATGAGGGTTTTCTATTAAGTTTACAACCCCGGGGTTGAGGAAAATTCCGGAGAATAAATGTCTGTGATGCTGGGGTTAAAATTCCTCGGATTTTCTTCTCGGATGCTTTCTTAATTTAAGAAAATTTAATGTTACAGTTTCAGAAATAAAGAAAAAAAGCAATTTAAAAGTAAATAAAAAAGGTGAAGGTACTGTAGTGGTAATATATTTGAAAGTTTTAAATTAGTCCTAAACATCGAGTAGTACTGTCCTGACCCTTTTAGCCAAAGTTCTTTTAAGCCCCAACTTATAATTGGTGATCTAAACCCAACACTCAACAACTTTTTAATACAGCAAAGGTAGTATGGTGATAGGGTGAAAATAAAAAATAAATATTTCTATTTCACACTAAACGTTTTATAATCGGATGAGCCTCAAAGCGATTTTCTAAAAGTTTCGTTTTTGTGTTGTGCAATCATTTGAGTTTCTCTCGATTATGGACCGTGTCGATCAAATTTTTAGATGTCATTATTTTTGCAAGGTTATTTCAATGTCGTAGAAAAAACGTAAAATCAATAAAACCGTGTATTTAAAATAAAATTGACTACGAAAATTGACCCAATTTTTTTTAAATAAACCACAATAATAAAACACATTTTAAACTAAATATTTTCACTCACGGACATTTCATTTTTTTAAAACTAAATGATGTTAGTTGAGTAGAAAGTGATAACTAAAAAAATGTTTAATTTAGGTAATTAACAATAATTTCGTATTGAACTAGACAAAATTTCGTCACATGCAAATAGAGTTTGCCTCTGTCAAAAACATTTTAAAAGGACTTTAAAATCATTAAAAGTTTATTTTTCATAAAATCATGGAATATTTGCGATTTTTTTTTTCATTTTATATTTATCTTACGGGTACCCAATGTAAAAAAAAAAACTTCCTTGTTTAATAATATTTAAGTCCAAACTAATGAAGCCAAGTGCAAGATTTATTGCACAACTAGCTTTGCCTGTCCACGGGCTGCTGTGGCTTAGCCTGGCAAAATGGAAAATAAAGAAAATAGAAAGCACATATGAGTGGATTAATACCAAAGGACATCTGTCATTTTTAACAAGTTGGGAAACAAATTTGTCTGTAAAATGGCTTCAATTAAAATTAATTCTAATGATTTTTTTTTCATGATTCAACTTGAACATTTGTAATCATCTGAATTAATACGGCGTCATTCTTAATCATCAGAAACAGCCTGAGTTGAACTAAAATTGACTTTATCTCTACTTTCTAAAAATGGCAGAAATCCGTCCTTTCATATCAAGCCACTCATATATTTTCATATTAAATTTTATTATTATTTTTTTAATATTTAATGTATTGTTTAATGTTCAAAAAAGGAAATGGACTTTTCTGAGGAGAAAGCAGTAAATGTTTAAAACTCTATAACTCTGCAACAAATCGTCCGATTTCGATGGTTTTAGATGGTCAGAGGATTTAGTTAAGGGGGAAGTGGGAGGTGGGGGGGGGGGGGGGTGGGGGGATGAGTGTGAAGGTGAGGTATGTGTGTTGGGGGTGGTGATGATTTTTGGGGGTAGGGGGGTGGGTGAGGATTTGTTTTGTGGTTGGATGAGGTTATGGGGGATGAGGGGGGGAGGTTTGGTGGGGTGTATATGTTTGGTTTTGGGGGGATTGGGTTGTAGGGTGAATTGGGGAGGGTTTTGAGGTTTGAAGGGGGGGAGAGTATGGGGTGTGAGTATATGGGGGGGAGGAGGGGGTTATGTTTTATGGGTATGGGGTGGGGGGGGTATGTGTGTTTTGGTGAGGTTGTATGTTGGTGGTGGGTGTGTGAGGGTGGTGTGGGGTGGGGTTGTTGGGTGTGGGGTGGGGTTGGGTGGGTTGGGGGGTGGTTGGGTAGGTTGTGGTGTGTGGGTGTGGTTTGTGGTGGGTGTGTGGTTGGGTGTTGGGGGGTGTGGGTGGGGGGTTGGGTTGTGGTGGGGGGTGGGGTGTGGGTGGTGGGGTGGTGGGTGTGTTGGGGGGGGGTGGGTTGTGGGGGTGTGGGGGGTGTGGGGGTGGTGGTGGGGGGGGTGGTGTGTGGGTGGGTGGTGGTGGGGGTGGGGGGGTGGGGGTGTAGGGGGTGGTGTGTGGTGTGTGTGGGTGTGTGTGGGTGGGTGGTTGTGGGGTGTGGGTGTGGTGGGGTGGGTGGTGGTGGGGTGGGGTGTGTTGGGTGGTGGGTGTGTGGGTGTGTGGGGGTTGGTGGGGTGGGGTGGTGGTTGGGGGTGGTGGGTGGGGGGGGGGGGGGTTGGGTGGGGGGTGGGTGATTTTAGGGGTGGGAGGGGGATTTGTTAGTCTCAGCTAGGAGCAAGAGAGGACTCCGTCAGCAGTCTTGCCTTTGATTGCAAGCTTATCTTCACCATAAACATGGGCTTCAAAAATGCTTGTGTAGAAAATGTTATTCGTATAAATTATAAACAGACACATCACACTGAGTTGTTGCCTCACATTTATCGCTGATTGACTCATCAAGCAATTATCAACTAAGCTTAAAATAATAATAACAGTAAGCACAAATGAATCTATTCAGCACATAACTGTAGGATGAGAAGTCAGAGAATACCTAAAAAGACTTGTGACGATGATCTAAACAAACTGAAACAGTAAGCGATAATAATGTTACAAACTCATAAATAATGATAACGGTATGACTAAACAATATTTATATATTATTTCTCAAAGGTTATACATTTTTGTCACTACGCCATATCTTCGTCAATTCTTTATCAAAACCCAATGATGAACACCTCATTATAAATAATGAAGAGAAGAATGGTTGGGGTGATCAGTCAGAAATAAGAAAGCAAAAATAAATAATAATATTTATTTTGACATTAGCCGACGTTTCGACCTGAAGTTCTGATCTTCATCAGGGCTAAGAAAAGAACCAGATAACAAGATATGAGAAACATAATGGAGGTAAAAAGATTAAAGTAAAATGAAGTGGTAGAATAATTACGATAGTAAGAACTAAGAGATAAATAATAATAATCGTTACAAAGTGTAAAATGATTAAGTAAACATAATCAAACAAGGTGACATAAGTATTAAAATGGTAATCTTAGAATAAAATGTAAAACAGAAAAAAGGAATATGAAGTTATATAAGAAATGAAAATAAATAGTAAAATTAAAATATTGAAAAATAGAAAAGTTAGATAGAAAATTGAGATATTGTAAAGTCTATCAAAACAGAGATATGAAGATGAAAAAAAGATATGAAGGAAAAGAAACAAAAAGAATTGTTGTCAATATATTGATTTTATCCATTGATTGTTTGAAAGATTACTAAATTTCCTACAAAAAAAAAAAGTCATCGGAATCGGACCATTATTAACTGAGATACAAGCTATTGTAAATCGCAAACATTTTGGTTTTAAACATGAATGAAGTTTTATAATAATTTTCTATTCTTTTGTCGATTATAAACATCGAAAAAATAAAAATTGATTCCCCCATGTTAAGATACGTTTAATTATTTAATTTCCTTATTACTTTGTCATTTATTTGCTGACCAATATTCTTTGTAAATTATTCATACGGACTAATTAACTAAATATGAGTATCCAATACACCAATAGTAAACAAAATTTATGACTAAACGGTTGGTTTGAAAAGAAAATTAAGAAAATATTCGATAATAAACTTATAAATAAAATACCATAAAATACAATTTTCATCCATACGGAGAGGGAATTAAATTGTACTGAGATCAGTCATTTATAGCAGAACGTCAGATGATCATGATGGTCAGATCTGATATCTTGATTGATTAAGATAATAAGTTTTTCTCTGCAAACTAACCGCAAAACAATGAGTCTTTGTAAAAAAAAAAAAAGAATAAATATAAAGAACCAGCTTCAGCACCTGAATTAAAAGAATATATTGGCTGGATAAAGTAATTGTAATATCCAACTATGGTGTGACACAAGTGTCTATCCTGGAAGCTACTGACAGCTTGGGACATGAAACCAGTACCATTACATCCCCTTGATGGTTTTGGCTTCAGTACTTTCTATGGAAGAACAGTGTCTAAGCCTACGTTTGTTCCATTAGGCGATTTGGCCAAGATCACGCTCAACCGTCTGTTTTTTCCTTCAATAGAGTGTCCAATTTATAAAGGCTGAGTGTGCCCCAGGATGGTCGTCCGATCCTAAGGTCGATGAATGGGTGATAAACGCACTAACGGATCCAGGATTTAATTTTTTTTGGGGGGGGGGAGAACTTCAGCCCGAAAGTTTTTTTTTATATACATATAACATTAATATATATTAAAAAAAAAAAAAGAAATTAACTACCTACATGAAATGGTGTTTAAGTGGTTCTCGAACTCCTATTAAATGTAATTACAGGTACAAGAATACTAAAAGAGATAGTTTTTAATATTTTTTTCTGTGAAACATGCTTATATTTTACCATTTTGGGGAGGGCCTCCCTCCGTAGATCCGCCAATGATATAATAGAATAAATAATCGTGGATAGATGGTTGACTGTAGTGAATAATTGAAGAGAAGGGTGGTTGAGGTGATCAGTCAAAATTAAAAATAGCAAAAATAAATAATAATATTTGCCAAATATATTTATTTTCATATAATATAATTATTTACTTTCTATATTTATCTATTTTTTATTTTGACTGATCACTCAAACCATCCTTCTCTTCAATTATTCACTACAGTCAACCATCAACCCACGATTATTTATTCTTTCATATTCCTTTTCTCTGTTTTACATTTTATTCTAAGATTATCATTTTTATTTCTTGTGTTATGTTAACTTATTTTGATTATGTTTATTTCATTAGTCCGTACTTTGTTGCCGTTGCTATTATTTATTTCTTAATTCTCTGTTATTGTTATTATTGTACCTACTTTATTATCCTTTAATGTTCACTCTATCTACTTCATTTTACTTTAAGTTTTTTCTATCTACATTTTTTAATGTATATCTTTCACCTTTTTAATTTTAATTCTTTATTATTCAATGTTTATAGTTTCTATTGTTATTTGGTTCTTTTATTAGCCCTGATGAAGGCATGAACTTCGGGCAAAAACGTCGGCAAATATAAAAATAAATATTATTATTTATTCTTGCTATTTTTTATTTTTACTGATCATCCCAACCATCCTTCTCTTATAAATAATCATTTGACTTACACACTGAGCTAACCCATACCACTACAGCTGTTATAAATGAAAACCAGAAAGCTATGCTGTTGAACATCCCAAACAGCTTCAGTAATATTTAAAATAATAATAAAATAATGACCTTACTTGGTTAGACGGTTAGGATTGTTTATCCCTATCTACAGAACAACAACAACCGTTTTAGTATAAGGTTGAAGTGTTAACAAATTAATAATAATAATAAACAATTTGGTGTACTAGTTATCCCGATACAACTAATCGTCGCCTGCATACTTCATTCCATCTACTCCTTGAAGCCAACAAAGCCGTGTTTACACATTTCACAAACTATAAGAGATAGGGTGTTTCATCCTAGACTAATGCTTGAGACCGATCCATCTACATTCGATCATAGATAAATCTATGGAAGTTTTAATCAACCCGGTTGTCGCTTCCACACTTTTTTTTTTGTTGCTTAAGAAATGTTAAATTTAATGATTTAAAAGAATTTCATACATTTACCATTATCACCTTACATGAATTTAACGCCTTCTTTTGCTTCTTTTCGCTTTAATTATAAAATTACAATAAATTAGGGCAAATATGATGCCCAACATCTACCATGTTTGTTTCTGTGGATATATACAAATATATAAACCCTTGTTTCTAGTTTGCTATTATTTGTTATGTAAATGTATAATCTCGGCTTTAAGACCAGCCCTAACACAATCCTCCCAACTGGCCTCGGTTTTCCTCTCGTACGTTTATCAGTCGGTTCAGCGGCAGTTAACTCCAATTCCCATCCATAACTCCGTAAGCCCATTTCAACCATTTCCGTGTTATTACTTACATTATTCTAACCGGGGACGAGCAAACACAGTTCCGTTTAGTTAAAATCCTCTAAATTTCCCATTGGAATCATGCTTCCTTGGAAACAGAATAATTGTACGAATTACTCTACTAACGAAAACATTGAGATTTTGTTTTGCATTCAAAATTATAACTACTGTAGTTTACCTTAAAAAGCATATAGATCGAAGAGATATACAGCGATTACGTTATAAATGGAAAAATCCAAACAATAAATAAATTATGAAGAGAAGAATAGTTGGGGTGATCAGTCAAATAAGAAGGCAAAAATAAATGATAATATTTATTTTGACATTTGCCGACGTTTCGACCTGAAGTTCAGGCCTTCACCGGTGCTAAGAAAAGAACCAGATAAAAAGGTATGAGAAACATAAGTAGTGCAGTTAAAAAAATTAAAGTAAAATGCAGTAGTTAGAATAATGACAAAAGTAAGAATAATAATAATAATAATAATAAAACTAAGAGATAAATAATAATAACCAGTACAAAGTGTGGAATGATGAAGTAAACATAATCAAAAAAGGTGACATAAGTATTAAAATGGGAACCTTAGAATAAAATGTTATATAAACGAATATGAAACGTCGGCAAATGTCAAAATAAATGTTATCAATTATTTTTGCCTTCTTATTTGACTGATCACCCCAACTATTCTTCTCCTCATTATTCACGACAGTCAACCATTTACCCACAATAAATAAATTAATCTCTGATATACAGGTGACCAGTTAATCTGCCAACGTTTCGCCATTTCAGGTATCATCAGGACAGAAAAAAAAAATCACATTTAAAAAAAAAAAAAATTAAATAGACATCTCTCCAAATTATCCTTGCAGGCGTTGATGACCTCGATGTTTTACACTCAAAAACAAAACAAACAAGAACCAACTTATCGATATACATACTGAAGGAAACGGAAGATTCCATTAAGACAGCAGAGGAAGATAATATTGAACAGCTTATTAGCAGCGATAAAAGGTAAAAAATATCCATACCTACAATGAAATAATACAAAATTGTGTTAATTAGGGTCAACGCACCAGTTATGGACGGGGGGGGGGGGGAGGGAAGCCAGTGATGTACCAGGTTCCAGTTTTTCTAGATTGAAGAACAATGCCCTCTATTGACAACCGTATGAACCAAGTTACGGAAATAAAATTTCAAAATGCCTTAAATTTCTCTTATATTTATGGTTAAATAAAAATTTTAGAATTTTTTAGGGTATGTCTATTACTGGTACCGACCCCCTGTCACTTACTAGAATTAAGGTGTCCATCAGTAGTACAAAATGGTGTTTTTTTTTTAAATGGAGATTATACCTGCATAACTAAATTTTTTTTTCAATTTTAAAAGATTTAAATAGAAAAAGGAGACCCTAGAGATTCTAAATGTCCAACGGAGAATAACTATAATAATTTATAATTATAATAATTACGGCGGCATAGGCCAAAAAAAACAAACATTTCTTTAGTTA